TCATGGGATTTCCTCACAAACTTTTTGAAGTCTTCTTGTACACGTTTAATTATCCATGTTTAAGGCCAGTGGAATCTATAGCTCATGAGTCATTTGCAAACACGCAAATATTGTTCTTACTTTTGACTACAATATAAAACAGGCCCTGATATATAACATTAAAGTTATGACTCACTCCTTTTCAATGTTGTGGCGATGTTAGAAGGCACTGATGCAGGTTATAACCCTGATCTGGAATCGGAATCATTTCCTCAATAGAATACCCAGTTCAAATGCTGAAGACTCAGGGAGCGCTTCAGTACTTAAGCTGAGCCCCCATTCAAAAAGGGGGGGAAGGAATCTTGGCAATCACAGTTCAGTTTGTTTTGGAGGTGGTGAGAGGCAAAAAGCAAGAAAGGCCTCAATGTTTTTTCAAAAAGCAGTTACAGATTTATCATGTAAAAGTAATTCTTTTCCATCATACTTCTATTGTTCTGATTCTAATGCTACCAAAATACCACCACAACATACACTTTTTGTGATTCTCTAGTTAAGTGATCATTAGTGGCGTTTCTTCCAAAAGAGGCATTTAGCTCTGTGGAAATACTCAACTACTTTATTTAGACCACTTTAATAAATCAGAATTTTCCACTGAAGGAAATCACCTTTGAACTTTATCAACAATTGCCCAAAATCATGTTTTCAAACCACCTTCCATTTGATATGATGATACTTTGGCAATAACAGCACAATTGCACCTCTTTGGCAAGACCCAGCAAATACAGAAAATGGCCATGAACTCAATGAAAAATACTACAGGCTAATTAAACACTTACATTGAACTGGAGTACAAATGTGACTGCTTAATTACAAACATCCAACTCCTAACAAAGAGTAAATAGACACTTGATGTAATTTGAAGCTAATTCCTTCCAAGCCACCAGTATGAAAATAAAGCAAATTGCAAATATCAACACATAGACTGGCGGTGAAGACAGAAGATTGGTAGTTTACAAGCTGATTGAAAGCGCAGTCTGAGGACACCAGGCCCATACTATAAATATGAAGAAAAAGAAGCTAAAGATTTGCTTATCACAAATAGCTTTGGCACAAGCCCCAGCTAGACACTCACTCGTGACCCACACATAGGCCCAATCTAAACACACAGATCACAGACAACTGAAGCCAGGGCGTCTGGTTCCCTAATCAATCATTAGAATCTTCGGAACAACGGGAATAGAGGTGGGAACCAGAGGCCCCACTTCTGTTGCTCCTATGACAATCAGCCAGCCCAGCCCCTGGCTCCCCAAGCCATCCCATGAAATAAAAAAATGAAAGGTCACAATGACCGTCTAGTTGGTCAACCCAGTCTATGCAGGGCCTTTATATTCATGCTAAAGGAAACGCTTACGTGAAATGAACACTCAACAACACTGAACTCATGTGGGCGGGTGTATATTCTCTTCTAATGTTCCAGTGGGTTGGGCAACATTTCAGAAGTTCACCAATTATACCCGTAGGGTACTTTGCTTAATTTGGATACAAGGCTGGGGTAGCTTGATTTATTTTTAGTTTCAGTTTTTTGTGGTAGCTTTAAAACAGCATGTAAGATCTTTGAAATGAGCCGGTGGACGGGCAATGAGTCGGGCAACGACACCCTCAGTCATTCTATGTGATACAAGAGCCCTTTGGTGGCTTTAAATTAATCTTTGAATCACCAACTGCATCAGGCTACAGCTTATTAAGGCACTTTTGGCTACATGAAATATTTCTCTTCACTCTTGGACCAAATCTTTGTTAACAAATATTGGCAAAACACCCAGAAATCAATTTTGAAAATAGATGCTTCATGAGTAAGTCTAATCGGTGTAGTGAGAAGCAGTCCGTCCCCGTTGTCCATTCATCTCCCGCCAAGCCACGCATCAACCGCAGAGAAGGCCACCTGAGTGACCGGGCAGCTCGCTGGACTTGTTAGCAGCCACAGCCCCCCTTCTCCTTCGCTTCACTTAATTGATCTGTGGAGGTGTGGCCGTTCGACCGCACCACTCCTTCAGGGATCCAGGACTTGTCCACACACCGTTCCATGCGTTTCATTATCAGGTCCAGGAGCACCTCGATGGCCTGGCTTATGTTTATCCCACTGGCGGCACTCGTTTCAAAGTAGGGGATTCTGGAAGGCAGAGAGCAGTCAAGTGAACAACAGGTGGCGGGACAGAACAATGGCCTTCACTCTTGAGAATTCAACTTAGAAAATAAGTGGCAAGTAGCTACACTAGGGGATAAAAATGCACATTTTGGCCATAGCAGGGTCCATTAAACAGTAAAAAGGACAATACAATAATTCCCAATAGAGATGGAACCTTTTTAGACATTTTCTAAGCCTTAGACTTTGCACAAGAACAATTCTTTTTTTTCCCTGCTTCTACTTCTAACTAACTGTAGAATGCTGGCAGGTGATTATTAGCCCGTGCCTCTGTGAAACAGCATTTTCCTCTAAGGATGAAGTGAGATCATATGGAAAGCTCCTAGTTAAGAACTGACACACAGTAAACACTTGATGAGATGTTTCTTACTGTCAGCACAGAACGGGGTTCCCTTAGAAAGATTTGTTTGGAACTGTGGTTCTTGAACACTCAGAATACATCATCCCAGAAGAAAATCTCACGGAATCATGCCAAGATTCCAAGGGACTCTCAAAATTCAACCACTGCCATTGAGTCTACTGTGACTCACCGCGACCTTAAAGGGAGAGAACAGAACTGACCCTGCGTATTTCTGTGAGTAAATCCTCATGGGGAGTACGACTCCTCTCTCGTGGTTTGAACCAGTGGCCCTGTGCTTAGCAGACCAAAATGTAACCCACTATGCCACCACGGCTCCCCGCGAGAGATTTTAGCCATGGCCTTTTAATGGGTAGCACTCCCCACAGCGTTCCCAACGCTGTTATCTTTACGGGTGTCAATCCTCATGGAGCAGCAGGGTAGGTTGGAACAGCTGACCCTTCGGTTAGCAGCCAAGAGCTTAAGCCCTGCACCACTAGGGGTCCTAGATTAGCCCACAGACATCTAGTTCATGCATGATGCAGGTGACCTGTAATTCTCCCTAAAGTCTGGTCCCTGAGACCATTCAGCCCCACATCAGGCCTGTCCTAGCCAAAGTGCGCTACCCGCAGCCTCCTTCAGGCCTCTTCAAAGTCCTCAGTCCCCAGACAACCTCACTAAACACCAGGGAACAAACCGGATCTTACTTTACTGATGATGCTGTCGTTGCTGTTGAGTTGATGCCAACACTACAGACCCTGGGGGCAGAAGAGACTGTTCAAGGAAGAAGATCGCCAGGTTCTTTCTCCTGGAGAGCCGCTGGGTGGGCTAGAGCAACTGACCTTTCAGTTGGCAGCTGAGTGCTTAAGCAGGGTCCCTTCCTGGTTACACCACACTGTCAATGGCTGGTGCCTGCACCTGAGCAATGAGTCTCTGCTCAGGGTTTATTACCGTAAATACTTTATAGAGATTAGGAGTTAAGTCATACTTATTAACAAGATGTAACTTAAATTTATGACTCCAAATTCAGGTTAACAAACTTCTAGTTTCAATTAAAACTCTATCTGCCTTTACTTTGTGGCCCTTTGGAATAAATAGATGGTAGCATAATAGGCCCCATGTTGGGCTGCTGACCACAAGGTCAGCACTTCAAACCCACCAGCCGCGCTGCAGAAGGAAGATGAGGCTTTCTGCTCCCATGAAGATTGTCAGCCTCAGAAACTCACAGGGGACAGTTCTTCTCTGTCCATGGGTTTGCTCTGAGTCAGAATCAACCTGATGGCAACAAATTTGGTTTGGGTTTCCTATGAAATCCACACACAGGAAGACCCTGAATTAAAACCATTCTTCCTTAAAGAAATGATGTACCAGACACACACATGCAAAATGTGCCTTGAGCTTACACGAGAAGCTTACACTGACCCGCCAGTTTCTTCAGGGCATGAAACGTTTGGTGGTTAGTATTAGACACTATGCCCATATGTTCCTGATTGGAATTTTTTTTTTAAGTAATTTATTTCCAGTTTATCTGGACTGTTTCGTTAGACATTTTGTATCTCTTTTGAACAATATAAACAATAGCTCAACACTTGAAGCTGGAGAGACAGTTGAAAATAAGTAGGAAACAATATACTAAGGGTCTGGGCTCTAGAGTCAAATGGCCCATTGCCCCATTTCCAGCTCTGAAACCTCCACTTTCATGCCGGTGACGAGAAATATCAGATTCTCAGAGTCATGGTGAAGCAGAAATGAGATCTTGCATGTAAAGAACTTAGCACAAGACAAGCACCCAACAAGTGCTCAGTGAATGTTACTACAATGTGTGTGCTTTTCTTCTTCTCTAAAATATATTCTGCTTTTCCTACCACGTGCTAGGCAAAAATGTAATTAGCTTCTAACTCAATAGGCTCAAAAAGCCCTCTTTTAAATAGACAAAATGGTAATGTCCCCTCTGACCACATAGTGGTGCCAGTGTAGCATTACTAGGGACCAGTCCTGCCAAACAGGAGGGAAAAGCTCATTCAGATGTGTTATCAGACGGTAAATGGCCATTCAATGGGCATGTAGAGCACATGTAGAAGACTGATTTGAGTAAGCTCTTAAAATACATACATATAGAGAGACTTAATCCCACATTTTAAAATAAAAATTAAATGAACAAAATGAGGAATCGCTTTAAATCAACAGGGAAGGGGGGTGTCTATCACTTGCAGCTTTTTACCAACATATCTACATCCAGTTCACACTGTTAGGCCCACGGCCGGCCGAGATCGCTCTGATTTATTTCACAAACTTAGAAGATCCTGAAACCCAGTCTGAGGCTGCGAAGAATGACCACAAGTATGTGCTTGCTGGCCTGTCAGATGGTCTGGCTCATGTGTGGGTACAGGACTAATAGAGCAAGCTCTCAGCAAGGATGGTTTTCCATAGCCGGTTGGATCCTGCTTGAAGAGGTGTTGATCAGAAAGGGGGGGCGGAAGGGACACTGGTCCGGTCACTGAGGCTGTGACACACAGAGTCCAGAGCCCCTTTGGGTTCTGGAAGTGTGCCCCTGGCTGCAGTGCTGCCTGATTTATGTGTGTCGTTTTAAAACATGTCTCATTGACTTCTATGAAACAGAGGCAGAGTCTCAATGAGATGGACCGACAGTGGCTGCCACAGAGCAATGGGAGTGAGGCTGGCCTGAGACCATCTGGGGCTCCTATGAGTCAGAAGCAACTCAACACACCTCGCAACAACACACGATTGCTAGACTCACGGAAGAACGACTTCTAGTTCGCAAAGATTCAAACTATCGGAGATCAAGCCATTCATCCCCACTCTACCTAGTCCGCTCTCTGGCACGATGGCCCTGTGAGAAGTCACTGAGCACTTTCCTCTCACCCTGTACGGCAGGCACATGCAGACCGTCTCTTTGCATACTAGCACAGAGGCCATGAACTCAGTAAGAGACTGAGAGCTCTGTTAAACTCCCCACTGCTGTCCAGTCAAATCTGACACGTGGCTACTCTACATGGTGTTTCTGAGACGCAAGCCTTTACAGCAACGGTTCTCAACCTGTAGGGCTCGCCTAATACATCCTGCATATCAGATATTTACATTACGACTCATAACAGTAGCAAAATGACAGTGATGAAGTAGTAATGAAAATAATTTTATGGTTGGGGGGTCACCACAACGTGAGGAACTGTATTAAAGGGTCATGGCATTAGGAAGGTTGAGAACCACTGCTTTACAGGAATGCACAGCCTCATCTTTCTCCCACAGAGCAGCCGCTGGCTTTGAACTGCTGACCTTGTGGTTACCAGCCCAATGTTTACCTGCCAACCCCACCATAGCTCCTTGCTGCTAAACGAAGCCACTTGAAATCCTCAAATATGATCCCTGTTGTAAAGTAAATGTTTTTAAGTCATCCACTATTCCAGAGACTCGTGAGGTGAGTGCCTTCTTCCTCCAAGGCCAGAAGCCTTTTTATGTTCGCTGCCCCTTTCTTTGCCCAAAGGAGGAAGATGAGGCTTTTCACTCCAGTGCGGAGTGAAGGTCTCAGGGAGGTGGCCCACCCTGTCCTCTGTGTCTGAAGAGAACTGATGCAGTGAGTTTGGTTTGGAGTTTTCTATACACAAAGGAGCCTTTGGCAGGTCAGCAGTTTGAAACCACGAGCTGCTCCCTGGGAGAAAGATGAGGCTAACCCTCCCAGTTGGCAGCCCCTCAGGTAATCCACCCCCACCCCACAGCACAATGTTCAGCCAAACAAGTGGCAGGTCTATAAAGGGAACAATAACACTAAGGAGGTAGACACACATTTTAGAGCAGTGGTTCTCAATCTTCCTAATGCCGCGACCCTTTAAAACAGTTCCTCTTGTTGTGGTGACCCCCCAACAGTAAAATTATTTACATTACTACTTCATAAACTGTAATTTTGCTACTGTTATGAATCGGGTGACCCTGTGAAAGGGTCGTTCAACCCTCAAAGGGGTCATGACCCACAGGTTGAGAACCGCTGCTTTAGAATGACCAACCATTTAAGATCAAGAGCATCCTTCACAGCAGAGTAACACTCGGAAAGGCTGGGAAAGGAGGAGGCACGGAAACAGGAAACATAGGAAGGAAGGGGGACATGTAACATGACACATAATAACATGTGTCATGAAAGAGGTGACCAAAATGTGGATGAATAGCTGAATGCAAAATTGATTGTCTGCTCTGTGAGCCAACACTCAACTCACAATTTTAAAAATTAAAATCACCTTAAAAAAGAAAAAGTGCTCCCCCCAACTACCAGGACCCCAATATTGCCTTGCAGACCTGGTTAGACCAGATGATGCACAGCGGTACAGATGGGAATTAGAAACGCAGGGAATCTAGGACAGATGAACCTCTCAGGACCAGGGGTGACAGTGGCAATACCAGGAGGGAAAGGGGGTGAAGAAAGGGGGAATGGATCACAGGAAGCTACATATAACCTCCTCTCTGGGGGACGGGCAGCAGAGGGGTGGGTGAAGGGAGACGCCGGACAGTGTAATATAAGATACAATCATAATTTATAAATTATCAAGGGTGCATGGGGGAGAAGGGAGGAGGAAGGGAGGGGGAGGGGAAAAAAGGAAAATGAGCTGATTCCGGGAACCCAAGAGGCAAGCGAATTTTGGGAATAATGAGGGCAACAAATGTATAGATGTGTTTTATACAATTAATCTATGTATTGTGATGAATTGTATGAGCCTCAATAAATTGATTTAAAAAAAAAGAAAAGAAAAGAAAAAGTGCTACCCTGACCCAGCAGCAACCGATTCAGGAATCTGTTAAAATTGTGAGCAGAATGGTAGCTAGGCGGGCTTTACCTTAGAACAAAGGAAAGGCTGAGAATGATGAAGTCAACCCTGCTGACCCCACAGGACCAAGGTATATGCTTGCTTGGCCTATCTCACTGCCTGACTGTTTGGCCTTGACTGACCATACTTCTCAATATCATGGTCTAGCCTCAGGGTCTCCATTGCTTCACCACTGGCTTCCTCCTTACCTGCTTGCAACACAGCTCTCTCTCAGCTTCCACATTACAGCCATCTCTGTGGTCATTGAGCCCTCCCCTCTCCCCTCACCATGACATTCCACGAAAACCCAACTCCCTGCCATCAAGTCCACGCCGACTCACGGCGACCCTAGCGAACAGGGTAGAACTGCCCTTGTGGGTTTCCAGACTGTGTAGAAAGCCGCATCTTAATCCCTCAGAGCCGCTGGTGGTTTCGAACTGCTGATCCATGTACTACGCCCCCAGGCTCCCGACACCACGACTGTGCCTCTCAGAGGGGGTGGGGGGGGGCTATGAGAATCACCCAATCGGCCTTCTCAACCTCCACTTCAGAATCCCATCAGTCTGCAGTTCTCAACCACTGCTTGGCAAAATCGAACGGAGTGCTTTAAGACAACCTTTCTAATGAAACGGATTGAGGTAGCAATTGTACAATACTGCTTGATGTGATTGAACTATGGAATGGTATGATGTCTGGATTTAACTCCTAATAAAATGGTCTTGGGGAGAATTTTTTTAACTCCCTCCCCACACCAGTACGGTGGCTTTTTAAAGAGACAATTTCTGAACAGTTCCTGGAATCTCCTTTCCAGTCAGGGCAGGCCACCCGGAGAGTGTGGGGAGACGTGAAGCAGCAGCCACTTTGTAGCTCTCATACTTGTCTGCTTATCTGCGGGCTGGACCTCCACCTCCTCCACCTCACTCTGCTCCTCCTCCTCCTGGGTGTTGACTCTGTGACGAAGAGGCCTGCCTTCTGCAGGACATTATAGCAACGGGGTGAGAAACCACCTCAGGAACCCTTCCTTCCATCCTGGCGGTCCCAGCTTGTTCTTGCTCTCCCTGCCTGATAGCCATCTTCCCTTTTTGACTGCCTGTCCTGTGAACTTCAAGTTTCAGCATCAGACATGAAGCACCCCACTCCCACAATTGCTGAGGTCTAACGCCCATAGCAAATCCCTTTATATACGGTATGCTTCTCCAATTGATCCTTGATGACTATAACACTCCAGAGCCAATTATAGCAAAAGCTCAGAGGTGAGGCCCAGACATGAGTTTTTGGTTTGCTTTGTTTTTAGGAGCTCCCAAGAGTTTGTAACATGCAATCAGGGTTCAAAGCAACAGCCCTAGATGGAAAACCTCCACATTCCATGGCAAGTGCTTGTCAGTCCAAGCGAGAACGGAGAGAAATTTTCAATCCTGTTCTGGCCCCTTCTAGCTTGTCTAGTTGTTTTGTTTGGGTTTTCTGTCCAGTTTCCTCTGATGTGTTCCTCCTTTTCAGATTTCCTTAAGTCCTTTTCCTGATTTAGCTTACGATCACTGCAATCTCCGTTTCGAGCCTTTCCACCCTCCTGTGGAGCCCAGACTGATCTGGAAGAGCACGCGAACATGCTCCGTGTTCAGAGGCTTTCACGCGTACGCTGTCCTCCAGGGCATCGGGCTGATCTCCTGTCCTGGCCTTCGAGCCTCCAGAGTCAGGCATCTCCCACCAATCGACCTCTCCTTCCATTCCTTCCCAAGGTGACTTCTTCCCCTGAGCACTTTCTGAACTTCCAGCACGAGGAAAGAAGGGGAAAGGG